TTCAGGATTCTCCAAAGTCTTATGACAAAGATGATATCTTAAAAAGTACCCAATCTCCGCACTTCCTAACAACTGAAAATGCCAGGGATGCCAGCTCTGGACAATGTTAACTCTAGATGTTAAAAAAAAAAAAAAAAAAAACCTGCTTCCTACTCTTGATTTATCCACCTTACTAATTCAGTACATGGTGATATTTTTAAGGGTCAGTATTTCAGAACCATTCCATTTCACTATCTACAATATAAAACCATAGTTTCCTTTAAAGGTTTCTTCTTACCAATTTATTCCTTAGTGAATAACGTGGAAATGATATGAGGTACTAAGATTATACGTGGCATTAATGCAATGCAAAAATGCTGCCTAAAGCACGTTTTATATAACTGCAAATAAAAATGCTAAAAACACCTGCTGAATCTTGTATTTTAACCTTCTCCACTTAACGCAGGAGTCCTTGTTATAATCCCTGGCGTCTGAGTGGACTGAAAGGCTGGTCTTCCTGTGGCTCCCACTATGGTTCCTCCCAGTGAAGCAGTCTCCTGAGCCAGGGACTTGCACGTGACATAACCTTGGAAGGCAGGGGACAGGCAGGAGGGAAAAGGATCAGATGACTGGCTTCAAGTTCAAATTCTTTACAGACGGCCTGAAACTGCGGTCAGCTTTCCACCGTACACACCACACAAGGTTTACTTTCTTTCCTAACTTTCATGCTGCCAGAATACACATGTACTTTTCCTTTCTTAGGAGAAAATGTGTCATTTGATTTCCTTCCAGTTTATGTACTTATGCCAGCAACGAAAATACTTAAAGAACCAAAACGCATTACTCCCCAGAAACGACGGTCAAAGTTCCAAAATTTGATCAATAAAATTGCTCATCTACTCACAAATTAATCTTCAGCCAGTAAAGTTACACATTTTCGAGGTTATGAGCGCACCTGCACCGTTAAGCATTTATTTCACTTGTTTAAGCAATCTTCAGAAGTATATAAATATTTATAAAAGAGAGCCTACTATTTTTACTCACCTATAATTTTTTTTTTTTTTTTGCAGGAAAACCTTGTTAATTCTTTTACGACTCATAGGCCTTCTGAAGGCAAGGTTTGTATCCTCAACAATTTTGTATCCTATGGGCATCAGCACCACGCCCAGCACGTGGTGGCTGCTCTGGAAGGGCTCACCAAGCCGCATTTAATTAATTCAGATCATTCTGATGCTGAATTGACAATGGGGCCAATTTTCAATTTTCATTTGTATCATTCATAAAAAATTTGCAAAGCAAATTAATAGACTAAAAAGGCGATGTGGGTTCCGAAGCAGAATCTTTGTCAAGAACTTCAGAAGCCGTATCTACACCCTATCAATGCCTTCATTAATAAACCGTCACAGCAGCCAAGAACGCGACCGGCTCAGATTTGGTTCCGTATGTGTATCTGCACAGAGCGCCACTTCTCTCTCATTTATTCTTGTCTCCCTGAAATTAGTCCAAAGCGGGGATGTTTGACTACAGTTTATGATCTCTATCGAGTAACCACTTATAGCCTCCTCTAACTTTCCATTTTCTTTTGTTTGTATCATCAGCCTGTGAAACTGGAGAGCACTGCCAAGCACAAAGCAGGGAAGTGTGAGATATGCTTAAAATATGAGTCACAGTATATTTGAGGATTTGGGTCTCTTTCTCCTTCCCTCCCCCCACCCCCCCAGCTATCAGCAGATCAAATCCTTCTTCCCTGTCAAGCTTCCCTCTATGCGGAAGATCTGAAATTTCGCTAAAATAGGCCTCTCGGTGTAGTTATAAAGGGTACGAAGATCAGACATGAACACTGTTAAGACTGGCTGTAGGAGTTCCCTTTCATTTCAGAGCCACTCTGGCGGAGATGCCCCAGCGAGGACAGGGCATGGCAAGACACATTTAAATGTGAAGGTTATTCCTTCGCTAGATGTGTTTTTAGGAGGAGATCACGCATCGTGGGCCCTGGGTTACTCATTTTTCCATTTTGTTTGTGGAACACTGGCCAAGCTAATAAAGCTTGCTGAATGTGCATGTGCCTGCCAGGCAGCTGAGGCGGACGCTCAGCAATAGTTATGAGACACACAACACACACACACAACACACCTGACTTTAGTCTGGTCAACCAACCCTTTTCTGCCTCAGCCAACTTTTAAAGCTAGTCTATATTCTCTGCTTGTCAACTGGCCTGGCTAGGGTAGTAGGCAAGACTCAAGACACCTTCTGTAGCAAAACCAGCCTCTGAGACTTCCCCTTCTTCCTCTGATTTCTGCAGACCAAAGAGCTCAACAGGAGGTCTTAGGTTGGCTTGGGCGCTATTCTTGCCAACAGAGACGAAGCCCTTTCTGTGTCACTCTCTTCAGAGTGGTGGCTGAAGTCCCTGTACAGGCAAGAAGAGAAAGAGCCCTCACAAGGAAACCCCCTGAAACTTTACTTCTTAAATTTAGCCCTCAAGGAACATCGTTCATCTTGGAAAAGAAGTCACCTAAAAATGCCATATGTTTTAAAAAAGCAAGTACCAGGGAAAATAAGTCTAGTATAAAAAAAAATTCACAAATGATATTCAATACCAAAGAGCAATGCGATCAGACAGATTGTGTATGTGTGTATTTTTTTTTATTACCTCTAACCAAAGCTCTACTATGTAGAAGACTTTCCCCCCAGTAATATATTGTCATCTACCCAATGCACTTGAGGTCTGATAAATTCAAGAGGACTCACCGTATTTTTAAGGCTGTGAGAGCCCCAAGAGGGAGGCAAAAAGAATGGACAGTCATTTGAATCACTGAGTGACAGGCTGGGCCAGCTCCCTGTATACATTAATAAATTAGAATTTTAATTGTGTCTCTGACTGCAGGAGATGCCCCAGTACTTTAATATGTACCAACAATTGGCTATGTTATGGAATCTGCAATGTGGCCTGCGCTGCTGACCCCTGAAACACAATTCCCAGTCTGACTACGGAAACTGTTCGGTTTGATCCTTTCAACTTATTTGAATCCTGACAAATAAGCTCACAGCTGAAAGGTCAACACAGTCATATTTCACCCTCCAGAGCTGTTCTTAAGACATCTGCACAACAAAGCGCTTCTGATAGCACCTGACATGGGCCCTCCGTGGCACTGTACCTCATTAAAAACGTCCCCCGCATTCACACACATGAAAAGGCATACAGACCAGTGATGGTTTACCAAATTACTGTTTTCAGAAGGGTTAGTAAACAATCAGCACTGGCATTCAAGTTCTCCAACAAAGTGTCCACAAAGTGCCGGCCTTCCTCTGGGGAGTAAGAGCTACCCAGGTAGATACAGAACCAGAACTTTCTGCCCAAGGTCAGCTTGATCTTTGCAGGATAGTTTGGGAACTGGTATTGGTTCACCCTGACCTGTAAAAACTCAACACAAACTAGAATTCAGGTTGATTCTGTGATACAATTAATCGGCAATGAGCTATACCCATCACCTACTGCTAACAGATCCCAAAATGTCCTTAGAAGTTCATCTTCTGCTGCCCATGTCGGGGATGCTCACTCTCAGCTTGGACAGTAATTTGGCCACCTAGAACCTGCAACTGCTGACCATGAAGGTGAGCATGAAGATCCCGAGTCAAGTTTCCCTGCAATTTCTATTACAGTTTTCTACTCAAATCAGAAATCCAAATTAGAATTTTATGAACTCACTCCTTCTTCTACTCCATTAACTGCTTGCCCTCAATGTGCCTGCAATGAGAAGTGCCCGAGACAATCTTTTTGGTATCTTTACACAAAAACTGCTCACCATCTTTCATTAATGATTCAGAAACATCCCGAGAACATTCAATCAAGAACAGGCTGTATATCCTGCTCATTACTAGGCATAATATTAAAAACACCACGCTGTCTGCAGGCCCAGTATCACTTCCTGACTACTGACGCTGTGGGCTGCTAAATAAGTCTGTGCTGTGGGGGACTGTCCTGAGCTTTGGCAGCATCTCTGGCCTCTACCCACCAGATGTTAGCAGTACCCCGTCCCTCTAGCCATGACACCCCAACATGCCTCCAGACATTGTTCATTTTCCCCTAGCGGGTGGGCAACAGCACCTCCTGTTGGGAAACAAGCGCTGCACAAAAGCAAGGCATGAGAGGAGTATGCCTTTATCCCATTTCTAGATGCATCCAAAGGGTACTTCAAAAAGTTGGAGGGGAGTGGAATTAAAAGTTTATTTTGGTGCAAAAAAACTTCAAACCAATGCATAACTTTTCCAGAACATGCATTTTCCATGAATTTTTCAAGACTCCTTATATGCTTGGATTTCAAAATTTTTTATACCCAAATAAATGTATCATTTAAAAAAATTATGGTTGATTTGAGAAGCAGAGTGATATATGGACAAAGGAGACAGAGAGCTCCCATCTGCTGGTTCACTCCCCAAATGCCCACGACTGTCAGGGCTGGGCCAGGCCAAGGCCAGGAGCTGGGAACTCAATCAAGGTCTCCTATGCAGGAGGCATAGATGCAACTACTTGAGCCATCACTACTACCTCCCACAGTCTGCACTTGCAGGTGGTTGGAGTCGAGAGCTAGAGCCGGGACTTGAACCCAGGCACTCCAATATGGGATGCAGGCATTTTAGCCAGAATCTTAATTTCTAAGCTTACATGTCCATCTCAAACTGATGTTTTAATTCTGTTTCTGTGAACTTTTGAAGTGCCCTCGTGCTTAAGTACTATGACCTCTCCCCTTCATTGCAAGTACCTACTAAGCAATCCAAATCAGAGACGCCTCAGCCACCCCATCACACACTCATCACAACTTCTTACTCCCAACAGCAAGCCTTTTGGTCAAATGGACATTTCCCCCCCCAAAAAAGTCCAACTGGTAATAAATGAAAAACGCATCTCTTCCACAAGATCTTCTTACATGACTTGAAATTCTCAGCACAATCCGCTTTGGAATTGCTTATCAGCCATCTCAAAGGATATAAGGTCAATTTGTTTTTAAGAAAAGAATTATCACCTGAAGAGCTGGTTGTTTGTCATTCCTCTTGGGAGATTTTAATCCACTAACTTGCTGCTGCTGTTGCTGCTGTAGGAGGAGCTGTCTTGCCACCTGAAGAGCCTTGGAGGAAAATGGAAGAAAACAACCGCATTACTACACGGGTTTGGGGCCCTGCTCACAAAAAGGACTCCAGGAAATGCACTTGATGGCAGGGTCCTGACAGTTCTATTTCCAGGCAAAATGAAACAGCAGCACACAAAACAGCCCACCAGTCTAAGAACGCTTTCCAGAATTTGCTTATGTGTCCCTTGCTTTGACCACTGTCATCCAAAGTTTCTTAGCATACCAATCCATCTCATAAGATACCTCTCTACCCCTAAAATCTTCCATCAAACTTCAATGTATGAATGATTGGGGCTTGGAGGAAGGGTTACAAAGACAGAAGCTAAGCAGACAATAAATGGCCCATTTCCAAGGCCTCTTCACCTTCCCCCCAATTTTCTTAGGGGAAGGTGGGAAATCAAGTCATCCACATGGATCTAAACGAAGGGAAGAGGTAGGAGGTGACCACAGCAAACGCATGGCACTGTGGAATGGGTTATTCAAAAGGATCAGCAAATCAGCACGTACCTAAGGATGGCCTTGAATTACAGAAGAGAAAAACTCAGTAACTCTGACTTCCTAGCATCTTCATGGATGCATTATGCACATGTGAACAAACTGGGTGTTTCTAACACAAACTCACTTTTAAGTTTATAATATGGGATGATTTCTTATTTAAAGGTAGAAATGAGGGAGGTAGTTATGAATTGGGAATAAAGCAAACTAAAACAGGAGAGTCTCCCAAAGTGCTGGACGTATATGACTGATCAATTTATTCTAAAAGGCTGAGAAAGAGAACTGTCATTAATAAACACTCATGAGGATATTCACTGTCAAGAAATTAATAAAAGGGGCTGGCGTTGTGGCACAGCAGGTTAAAGTTGCTGCTTGTAACACCAGCATCCCACACTGGAGTGCCAATTTGAGTCCCACTTGCTCCTCCCTGTTCATGCACCTGGAAAGCCAGTGAATGATTCAAGTACTTGGGTTCCTGCTGCTCATATAGGAGACCCAGATGGGGTTCCAGGCTCTTGGCATCAGCCTGGCACAGCCCCATCAGTTGTGGCTATCTGGGGAGTGAATCGGGGGATGGAAGACTTTCTCTCTGTGTCTTCTCCTGTCACTCTGTAAGTCTTCTTTTTTTATTTTTCCAAAAATTAAGAGCAGTTTGATGATGTGACCAGCCCTCTGGATGGTACAAGACAATCTTTTCCCAGGCCACCTTGGAGCACCATAGGAAAGACAGCAACAGAAGAATAACCATAAGTAGCTCTACACCCATATATCACTTTGAAGAAAATACAGAAGATGGACCCTCATCTACGTTACTCTCCTAAAGTTATGGGTTACTTCTCTTGAGGGGAGAACGTTACGATAGCTGGGTAGACATTAGTCTGTGTTACAGGAGCCAAAGAAAATGGAACCTTTTGTGTGGTTGAATGAGAGAATAAATGTGGAAGCAAACCAGCATTTTCATATCAAAAGTCAGGTTCATTGTTTGCTAACCTAGTTGGGTGGGTCCCAGCCCTCTCCCTGGGGTCAGCTTGGCAGAACCTTAACTGCCATGCACCAAGGGGGCTGTGATGAAGTTCTGGAAGGAATTTTAGGAATTCCACACCCAGGAAACCCATCTATACAGAGAGATATCCCAGACAGGGAAGAGGGAGGAAAAACAAAGGGCCCATACCCAGATCCACAGAAACTCCAGCCCGAATGCAAGACTGGGCTCCTGGATCTTCTCTGAGATGCCCACCTGGTTTATCAGGTATATTTCTTTTCATTGAACTTGAGTATTTAAAAGGAAAAAAAAATAAGAATAGGAGTAATGACTAGGTATACCTTCCCTACAGAGAGCAGTAGGAGGAGCCACAGAAAAAAAGTTTGCAGACGGTGTGCCAGAGAATCACAGGAGAAACTAGATTTACTTAGCCATCACTGCTCCCTCCCAAGGTCTGCACTAGCAAGAAGCTGGTGTCAGGAGCAGAGATGAAAATGAACCCAGGTACTCTGACAGGGGATGCAGGTATCTCAATCGCTAGGCTAAATCCAAGTTCCAAGTTAGTCTCTTGAGTCAATGAAGCTGAGAACCGAGAAGGCACATATGGAAGTGATGGCAAGAATGTTCATTAAATAATATTCTTAAGAGTTTAGAGACAATATAAGATTCCTTGGAGATCACATCGCTAGTAATTTCTACGTGGTGACTATTTGTGCCTCCACAGGCACAGTCTACACAGATGTTGTCACTACATCCAGAGGACCTGGTGATACTGTCCTAGGAAGCAAGCATCAAATGCTTAGGATGGCAGTGGTGTGCTCCCCAAAGATGAAGAGTTTTCATTAATGGAAGAAGACACATACAAGAAGCTACAGTGGCACAGGTGGAGTAGCCGAAAGGGAAGATGGCCTGGAGGGGAGTGGGGTGTGGGGGAGTCCTTTGCCTTGAATTCCTGAGAAAGGGAAAACCAAGTCAGGAGGTGGCTTGGTGTTCATGAGCTGCTGCCTAGCAATGTTGGCCCTGTAAGAGTAGTACTTCCAGAAGGAGAAGCTCACTACCCAAGTTCATAACCACACTACGATTAACAAAGAATATGTTTAAGACTCCTTGTAAGGGTGAGTAGTGGCTCCGTGTCTAAGAGGTGCAAAGGAAGGCAGAGAAACGGAGGCGCAGAGAAGTGGGTGACAAAGACAAGATCTTGGGGGAGTGGAAGCACCTGTGCCGCCTCCCTCTGGTTGGCCAGCACCCCGTCTGTCCCTGGGAGGCCTTCTGCCCACTGAACTCCCCACCACCAGACTTTCAGATGTGATGCACAGGCTAGCTCGTCTGGGAAGGCAGAGACAGAGTCGAGAAAGCCTCCCTAGAACAGCTAGGAGAAAAAGAGGCTGTCTGAGAGGGGCATCTGGAAGCCAAGATGCCTGGGAGAGTTGCCGGAGACTCCAGCCGGCTGTCTCCGTGGTGGAGTACCATCACTGGACGCCGGGTTTCCTGGTCTCCCTGACGACGCTCAGTACATGCGTAGGCGGAACAGTGGGCAGAGTGAAGATTTCATTTATATCATCTAAGAAAAATAGTCCCTTTGCAAGGTGCCTGCGGGAGCACAAGCCTCTCCTCCTACTACGTATGTTCCCTTAGCTGCTTCACATGGAGGTTGCACGGAGTTTTAGTGTAGGAAAAGGAACTGTTATGCATGTTAAGTGCTGCCACCAGAGTTCCCGGGGTACCAGACTGATCGGCACAGAAGGATCTGGCTGCTGGCTGGGAAGGCAGACGGAGGAACTGCAGGTGACAGTGACAAGAGACTGCAGGGAGAAAAATGGTGAGCAAGATGAGAAAGGTCCCCCACATTTCACACCAAAATAGAGCAAGCCAAGAAAAAGTAATGATGATGCCACATAATTTACTGTCTTCTTCACTAAATATACGGAGAACTGGCTTTTTTTTTTTTTTTTTTTTTTTTTAAGATTTATTTACCGGGGCTGGTGCTGTGATGTGAAGTAAAGCTGCGTCTGCAACGCCAGCATCCCATATGGACACCAGTTCGAGTCCTAGATGCTCTACTTCTGATCCAGCTCCCTAATAGCTTGGTAAAAGCAGTGGAAGATGGTCCAAGTGCTTGGGTCCATGCCAACCATGTGAGAGACCCAAAAGAAACTCCTGGCTCCTCGCTTTTGTCTGGCCCATCTCTGGCCTTTGCAGCCATCTGGGGAACGAACCAGTGGATGCAAGATATCTCTGTGTCTCTCACTCTCTGTAACCCTGTCTTTCAAAAAAGATAAATACATTTTTGAAAGGCAGGGTTACAGAGAGAGAGGGAGGGGGAGAGAGAGGGAGATCTTCCATCTGCTGTTTCACTACCCAAGTTACAAGCCTGGAACTCTATGGGTGGCAGGGACCCAATCACTTGGATCATCTTTTGCTGCTTTCCAAGGCCCATTAGTAGGAAGCTGGATCAGAAGTGGAAACAGCCGAGACTTGAACTGGCTCCCATCGGGATGCCGGCATTGCAGATGGCAGTTTAACCAGTTGTGCCACAACATGGGACCCTAGTGCTCAATTTTTTAAAAAAAGAAATACAATCAATTCCTCATTTTCAGCAAAAGGGAAGACGTGAGGCATCTTTAAGAAAAGCATTGACATGCACGCAACTGCTCGCATGCTCTCACAAATGCACAGAAGCAAAAAAGCAAAAGCAAGGAGAGAACTCACGCGTAGGTGTTCAACCCATGGTTACTGCGCTGGCTCTATTCAGAGGTGATACATTTCTTTCTTTTTTTTTTTTTTTTTTTTTTTTTTTGACAGGCAGAGTGGACAGTGAGAGAGAGACAGAGAGAAAGGCCTTCCTTTGCCGTTGGGTCACCCTCCAATGGCCGCCGCGGCCGGCGCATCGCGTTGATCCGAAGCCAGGAGCCAGGTGCCTCTCCTGGTCTCCCATGCAGGTGCAGGGCCCAAGGATTTAGGCCATCCTCCACTGCACTCCCTGGCCACAGCAGAGAGCTGGCCTGGAAGAGGAGCAACCGGGACAGAATCCGGCGCCCCGACCGGGACTAGAACCTGGTGTGCTGGCGCCACAAGGCGGAGGATTAGCCTAGTGAGCCGCGGCGCTGGCCTAGAGGTGATACATTTCACAGTGAGCTGCTGGAATCCCTGGACTTACTTGATCTGCAGGGTGGGAGCTGGGGGCGTCACTTATGTGTGCAGCATCTTGTTCAGAGTGTGCATGGGGTACATGAACTTACATAATCACATGAGTTCTACCTCCTTTCTCAGTAGTTCAGCCACAGCCCACCAAAGAGGACAATGAGATAGTGACAGGGGAAGAAAAGGCAGAGGGACTTGTGTGAACACAGTGGGGATGTTAGTCAACCTCCCAGAGAGAGAACAACACATGATGCAGATAGTCAAATTGGCTGCCAAGTTCCAGCCAAGCAAATGAATCCTAACAGGTAAAATAACTTCAAATAGTTGGGAAGAAGAAGCATTAATGCAAAGGAGAATTCACTTAGATATGAACTGTTAT